GGGCCCCCGGGCGCGCCCTTCCCAGGCTCGGGCCCCCGCGATCCGGATCCGGGTCGCCACCTCCGCAGCCGGCGGCTTCTCCCGGAGCCTGGCAAGTGCTGGGGCTGGAAGCCAGTCTCGCAAGGCCGCGGAGGGGCGCGGTCGGCTCCGGAGGGCGGGAGGGCAGCCAGAGCCTTAAAGCGCACCCACCTCCTTCAGGGGCGAGGAGAAGCGCAGCGCCCCAGGAGTATCTCCCAGGCTCCCCCGTCTCCCCGCCCGTGGCCATCCCTACCCGCTTGACTTGGCGTGGGCCACCGCCTACCTGTCTCCCCCGATTCCGCCCCAGCACTCCTGGGGCGCCTGCGATGCCACATCTCTCGAGTCAGCTGTGGCTAGCGCCTCGGCAGTGCCTCCAGTCCCACCCCCTGTCCCCTTGTCGCCCTGGCCACTTTCCTTAAGAGAGGAAGGAGTGCAGAAGAACTGGGCTGAACCAAGCAAGGCACTTGAAGCCTATGGATTAGTTGTAAGCCCCACAGCCGCGGGCGCAATGCGAGAGTTTGGGGACCCATTGTAAGGGGGCTGGGGAGGAGGCGGGGAGGCTGAAGCCCCCCGCAGCGAGGTGTAGCCATTGGAAACCGCTACGGCTCCCCAGAGCTTTCTCCCAGTCGGAGGGAAAGCTGCAACTTCGGCCAGGACTCGGCTCCCCCCCTCCCGCCGCGGTACCAGCCCTGCCCTGCCCCCTTCCGAACTCCCAGCGCCGGCCACTCGGGGAGCGCCAGGGCCCCCCGGCGCCGCCGCCCCTCCCATGCGCCCCACCCTACCTGGGCGAGCCGCGCCAAGGGCCGTCGGAAGGCGAGGGGCAGGGGACCGAAGTTGCCTGCGTGAAAGGCTACGCCGGTAGCCAATTCTTAACACGGCAGCGGCCACGATAAACATGCAAATCCGGACGCAACCCGGTGCCTCTCAAAAGTTGGGCTTCCTACGCAGCAGCCCCGCCGCACTTTGCAATCTCAGCGCCCCGGGAACACGGGAATGCAGAGTTGGCGTTTACTCACCTGGGCGTGCCAGCCTCGAGGAGTAGACGGAGAATTCCGCGCGGGACTGGTCGGTCCCACCCCCGGGGTGCAGGATCCGGCTGGGGAGGGGAGGTGGTGGGCGGTGCAGTGGTGGAGCGGTGCGCGCGGGGTCGCGCTTCCCGCCCCCCTCGGCCTCTGAGGCCAGTTTAAAAACGGCGGCTGGAAAAGATGCTGGGGGGAGAGTTTGGTCTCCCCGGAAACCCTGACTCCATTCTTGGTGATGGGGGCTGGGGAAGGTGAAAACGTTGGGGGCAGCGGCTCGGCTCGCGGCGCACTCAGAGAGTTAAGTGGAAGGTGCTGGGGGAAGGGAGGGAGCGGAGAGGAGCCGGGGAGGGAGGAAGGAAGCGGAGGGGAGGGGAGCGGGCGGCGGGGAGGCGGC